AACCCAGCGCTGCCTTTGGCATCACCTCCCCACCTGAGCACCTGCACTGGGGGCTGTGTGACCACCCTGAGTGTGCAGGACACAGGACAGCAGGACACCCTGCACTGTGTCTGCTAACCCAGCACTGCCTTTGGCATCACCTCCCCACCTGAGCACCTGCACTGGGGGCTGTGTGACCACCCTGAGTGTGCAGTGCCATCCCCTGAGGACAGCCAGCAGCACTCCAGGGAATGTGAGTGACTCCTGCAGCAGTCTGGAAGGATTCACGCTCATGAACCATGCTCGGTTCTTTAGCCTGCTATAATCCCTCACTGAACAACTAGGCACAAACTGATTTACCTCACTGTGGCCAGAACAAAATAAAAAGGCACAGAATTTCTTTGTCGTCAATACTTCACTTGGAAGGGGAAAGAGCTGCTTAGACAAATTACTGATCCACTCAGAATTTCAGATGTACAACAGATCTTTAAAGAAATGTGCATGCAATAAAAAGGCATGAGTGATATTTTTCTTTGCTAGCTATACAGGAAATTATTTGGTTTTATCCAAGCAAGACCAAATATGGTCTCTACATATAATAAATCCATTCTTACAGAACTGATGGACACTTTCAACTGGCTGCAAGATCCACTGTTTTCATAGTCTGTGTGTATTGTGGGCTGCAGATAAATAAAAGATGCCCTAAGGATTTTGCATACTAAGTGAATATACCAAGTATTGCCAAGTTCCTTTATTTTCTCAAAGGCACAGGGATACTGTTTTCCTTCAAGGTGCAGTTCTTGAAGTGTCTTGGTGAGAATTCAGCTTTTGTTTAAGAAATGAGTTTCAGTTCTCGTAGTTATAATAAAAGACATCAAAACCCCATACCTGACCCCAAATGCACTCTCATAGTTCAAAAGCCAAAGGCAAAATGAAAACACTGGATTTTACAATAAGCCAAATGTCCCAATTTTCACATCATTACCACAGTTCCCAAATGGTTTAGCTCTACATGAGGTGCTGACCTCAGAGCAAAACTACACACTGCATGTGTGTGACTGGGGTGGGAAACCCACTACAGGGCCAGGTCACAGAAGATCCTAAACATAATTAGAGAAACAGCTGGAGATTTGAAAGGATGAAGGGATTTGGCATTCTATTCACAGAAAACCAGGTTTGGGACCCACTTCCAGTGAGTCAGAGATGGAGCATGGCTGATGGCAGAGGCTGGACCCACCTCACAGCCGTGTGGCAGCAGCTGGTTTGGGTTCACCCCAGCCAGAACCCACAAGTTGGGCTGCTTGGGCTGAGCATGCAGCTCACACAGGACAGGCTGGGCTCCTCATCTGCACCTCTGTCTGAGCTGGAAACTGCCAGAACTTTCTTTGTCTGAGGGGAATAATTTCTGGGTGCAACTATCTGCAGGAGCAGGACAAGGAGCAGACAGATTTCTGGATGGTTCTTCCATGCAAACATTCTACTAATGTTTTACTACCAGCACTGCTGGATATGTTCCTTGACTGGAGAGATAAAAAGACACAGACATTTTCATTTTTTTTTTTTTCTTTTGTATTCCCCTCCCCCATTTCCTAACTTGACTGGAGAGATAAAAAGACACAGGCATTTTCCTTTTTTTTTTTCTTTTGTATTCCCCTCCCCCATTTCCTATTTTTCTAGGATGTGGAAACTGCTCTCAACATTGTCCCAAAAAAAAAAAATAATCATGACACTGGATAAGATCTCAGAAGTGATATATATATTCCAGGATATTTTGCTTGCCTTCTGACTCATAAGGGTTGGTAACATAATTTTTAAACAAAAGCTGAGGTTGTCATGGTATTCCATATTTGTGAAAAGGAGGAAAAAAGGCAACAAACACCAAGAAACAAGAGATGACACAATACCATGCTATGTATGGGAAAGAGTGCATATTGCATTTTCTCACCCTTAAAGCTGCTCACCAAATTCCTTCCAGTTCCTGCTGACCAAGACCTCCTGAAAACTGCTTCTCATCAGGCAGTTTCTGACATCTTAATTTCTGGAGCATTTCAGTATCTCCACCATACCTATTTTTAAACATGTCCTTCACCAAGTGAAGTGAAGGTACTTTTTGGGCACATTTTCCACATTCATGGCAGACTTTCATGAGAACATTTTGCTATCAGAAGGGGTGTAGCACTTCCACTCCTACTGATATGGCTTTTGCACATGTTGTGAGTGCAAAGTAATACAAAATCCATAATGACTTTGGAAGGTAATTTTGCCTTATTCTTTATTCAATCATGAAGGATATTACATTTTTAAAAAATATGATTCACTACTTAATTTACAAAAAAATCAGTAGAATGTTTATATGAAAGAACTATCCATACAATCTGTCTGGTCCTTGTCCTGCTCCTGCAGATAGTTACACCCAGAATGTATTCTCCTTAAAGAAAGAAAGTTCTGGCTGTTTCCAGCTCAGAGTTGCAGATGAGGAGGACTGCTTTGGCAGCCTTACCATAACCCTCTCCCTGCAGCTGCACCTCACCAGGAGCCAGCTCTCTTCCCTGGGTTCATCACAGCATGGCCAGGTCTCTCTGCTTCCCATGGTGTTTGTCTGTCCATCCCCACCCTGCTGCAGGTCTGTCCATCCCCACCGCAGCTGAGTGGGTACAGAGGGCCCGGCTCAGCCCCTGCCAGCAGCACCAGCACAGCTCTGCAGACCCTGTAACGCTGGGTTTCTTGTCCATTACCAGTCTGAGGGATGCCAGGCTGTGTTTGGATTGCATCCTTTCCTCGTGTATGGACAACATGGAAAGGTGACTCAAGGGATAGGGGTGGAAGCTGAGAACCTGCTGAAGAGTGAGCATTTGCATCTGCTCTTTGCTGCCAAAAATAGCAGCAAACCTGGGCTAAAGTGAAAAAGAGCAGGAGGAGATGGCATGAAAGGAGCCAGTGGACCCATTTAGGGGTTATCCTGTCTTTGGGCATTTGTTCAGTACTGGAGTGGCCAAAAAGGAATATGATTCCATCCCAAGGAGGCAAGGGAAACCTACAGGTCTGTCTTGGTAAAAAACACTATGTCTGAACTTCAGCATGCTCCCCAGAATACCAGCAGCTCCTCCCAGCAGTGCAGTGTTTTCAGGCATGTTGATCTGTGGAAAATGCAGGTAGACTGGTATGTATGCTGGCAGGTAGCAGATCATTTTTAAGGGGCTTTTATCACTTCAGGTCTTTCTCCACATGCATGAGTGTAGCCATGATATTTTCTGAAAAATCCTTTTGCCAGGATTTTCTCCTGAGGAGCCTCAGGAAGGAAATGTAAACAATAACTATCTGCTGCTGTGGAATGCAACAGGTGCATCTGTGATTGGTGCATATTTGCTGTTTCTAATTAATGGCCAATTGCAGTCAGCTGGCTCGGACTCTCGGAGAGTCACGAGCTTTTGTTATCATTCCTCTCCTGTCCTTTCTAGCCTTCTGATGGATCCTTTTCTCTCTATTCTTTTTAGTATAGTTTTAATATAGCATTTTAATATAATATTATAAATAATAATAAGATAATAAATATAAAAATTCAGCCTTCTGAAACATGGAGTCAAGATTCTCATCTCTTCCCCATCCTGGCACCTTCGAACACCACCATAGCACGAGCACAACTGTTAAACTGTGGCACCCAGCAGTACCAGACTCAAAAGGCTTCCCCTGCAGACCCTTCCCCATGCCCAGGGCTCCTCTGGGCCCTCTCCGATGGCTTCATGTCTTTCTCATGCTCTGAGCCCAAAGTGCCCGGCACTGAAGGCGAGGCCGCCCCAGCCCAGAGCAGAGCAGAACAATCCCCCCGGCCCGGCAGGGCTGGGCCTGCTGCCCCAGGACAGGGATGTCCCTGCCGGCTGCCAGGCCGCTGCTGGCTCAGCTCCAGCTGCCGCTGCCAGGAGCCCCAGGTCCCTCCTGCAGCTGCTCTCCAGCCTCTCCTCCCCAGTGCCCCACAGCCGGGGCTGCCCCGTGCCAGGGCAGAACCCAGCCCTTGCCTCAGCTGAGCTTGCCGTGGCTGGGATCGCCCTTCTCTCCCCTTGGCTGGCTCTCTCTGCAGGGCCCCTCTGCCCTCAAAGGAGTCAGCAGCTCCTCCTGATTCAGTGCCATCAGCAAACTTCCTGAGGGCTCCTTGGACTCCTGGGTCCACACCATCAATGTGGTGCTGAGCACAGGGCTGAGGAGCCCTGCAGAGCCCCCCTGGTGACAGCCCCAGTCTGATGTCACCCCAGCCATGCCACCCTCTGTGCCCGACCCCTGAGCCAGCTGCTCACCCATCATTTAACATACACTGGCCCCACACGAAAAAAGAGCACCTGGTGGCTTCCAGCACTCCTTCTCTATACCCAGCACTGCTTCAGCTCACATCATCTCAACTGTGTCATATTGTCCAATATTTTAGCCATGCCACATTATAACTTAAAATTTCATGGCCAATCACTAAGCAGCACAGGTATTGCAAGTACAAAATGCTTTATGGATTTTTAATATTTCAGACTTTGAGATTACTTTTTCAAGCACAATCTTAAATCCATCCTTGGTGGCAAGCACACCTTCTGGGCCCATCATTACAGATAATGCTACTCTCTTCTATTTTGACCTCCCAAACTCCCGGGAAAGGGGCCTTAACTTGTTCAAATTCCTCTTAGGAGTGGATGAAAAGTCTTCAGTACAAAGTCACTTCTAACTCCTTGCAGTAATACGCTTGGGCATGGCAGGTGAGAGTTATGCAAGCTGAGGAAGTTGATGCCAGAAAACTCACGGATCCTCAGCAGCAGAGCTGGGCACACACTTACCATCTTTGATTGCTGATCAATGGCAACACTTCTGCCAGGGCATAACCAGAAACAGTGCAGTCATACAAAATCTGAAAGGGGAGCATGGGGGTGGCACGGCTGAGTTTTGCATTTGAGCGGGGGCTCTGGGCTTGTTTACCTTGTTTGGAATAAATAAAAGCCAGCTATTTCCTTTCTTTGCCCTGACTGCTGACGTGTTGTCCTTTGCAGGTAACATCATAGGCTCTGGGATCTTTATTTCCCCGAAGGGAGTCCTGGAGCACGCGGGCTCGGTGGGCCTGGCTCTCATCATCTGGGTGCTCGGTGGAGGCGTGGCTGCCCTGGGCTCGCTGTGCTACGCTGAGCTGGGGGTCACCATCCCCAAGTCGGGAGGGGATTATTCCTATGTCACAGAGATTTTTGGTGGGTTAGCTGGGTAAGTACCCTATCTCTATGAACTCATTTGAAAGCACATTTCTGTCGTGTGTTTGGTGTGTGGGAAAGCCATCGGACTTGGAGGAGACAACATTTGTCAATAAAAATGCTTCAGCAAAATCAATCTTTCTGTTCTCTGTTAGAAATACCAAATTGTCCCTACACAGGCCTCCCAGTGCTGTTTTTCAAGAGAAGGTGACAGATCTTTCACTTCCCTCCCTGCCTCAAAGTCCATGGCAGAAGAGGGTGATGCTGTGTCCGAGCGATCTTCCCGTGTGCAAGCCATGAATGGTCAGTGCCTGGTGCTGAAGAGCTTCCCCCATCCCAGGCCAGGCTGGAGCTGCCCCCCACAAATAAAGCAAAGCTGCTTGACTTGCTGTCCAGAATAACCAAGAGCTGTAAATACAGCGAGAGGGGAATGCTAACTCAGGGAAGGATTTCTCTTTGAAAATAGTACTGATGCAGTAGTGTGGCCAGGTGAGGAAGGGACAAGTGAGAGGAGGTTATCTGTTTTATTTGGGTGTACACTTTTTGATGTATTCCACACAATAAATTAAGCTGTCAGCCTGTACTCACAGACTACTAGAGAAGCACCAGAATGTTCTGAGCAGCTCTCTCATTGTGAGTAGACAGGCCATACCACATGTTGGTGGTTTAGCTAAGATAAGTAAGCACCAGTACAGAAAATAGAGAAAGAGTAAGGAAAAAACCCCCACCAAACCAGAGAATTCCTTCTCATGTGAGATGGAAAATGAGCTTTTAAAAGTTTTGCTGTCTGCTGAGCAAGGACAAATCAGAACAGGCATAACACAGGCAGTCTGTCACCCTGTGCCAAAGGCTGTCCTCTCACGCCTGCCTCAGCTCATGTCACACAGGCCCAGGGCACAGCCAGCACTGCAGACATGCCTGCTCACAGGGTGCATTTCTGATGCTTGTCAAGCTTCAGCCATCGCCTTCTGCTGGTTCATGAAATCTGTGTTTCTTTAGTGGATGGAATCTCTGATTGCTGTCCTGCTTTGCACAGAAAATTACACTGAGATCACAGAGCAGATGGAGGCAACAACAGCATTGGCTTGGCTAACCAAATTTCAGCTCCACTCAGGTGTGTTCCCTCGTGGGGGCAGGAGCTGCACAGCAGAGCTCCTGCTCTCCAGGGCACTGCAGCAGGCAGACAGCAGCTTCCTACTGCCTGCTGACAGGAGCAGTGTCTGCAAGCTGGGACAGGGGGCAGAGAGCACAGAACCCCACAAACTGCCACAAGTCCCATCCCTGGAACATCACTGTGAAGGAGGCCAGTGACGTGAGAGGTCCACAAAACCAAAAGAATTGTGCTTTCTAGGGGGGAAAATGAAACTACTTAGAAATCAAGTGCAACTAAAATTAAATGTAATTTAATTAAAATTAATTTAAATTGTTCCTCAGCTCCCTCTGCCACATTCAGAGAACCTCCCTGATGCCTGCAAACACCAAGCTGTGCAGCTGCTGTAACAAACCAGACACCAACTGATTGATCACTCCCCAGCATGTGCCTGGGGACAGTCTCACCTCCCAAGGCAGGAAATTCTGCTTAGGCAGCACTTACATGGTGTCCAGGCTTGTAATGCACAAGCAATATCAAAAAAGCACAACCTGTCACCTGAAGAGAAGTAGTGCTCACATCCTTCCTGTGTAGAGATGTGAGCTCTTCTCTCAAGAAACTAAATAGTTCCACTACTATGACAAAGGGTTACACTAGACAAAAGCCACCAGGCAGGTTTTGGCATAAAAGGGGAATTTGTGTCATATTTTCCAGTAAAGCCAAGCTGAGGTTGTGCCCTGCTGCTCTTTCCTGAGCCACCACCTGAAGGCTGCAGCTTTGGGGAGCTCCAGCACCTGCAGCTTCCCACCTGGGGAGTGCCCATCCAGCACTGGCAGGTCACAGGCAGTCTGAGCTTCCAGGGGCCTGCACTGTGCCTGCCTGGGATAAAAACCTCTGCTGCTCTCTTTTGATGTAATCCTTCTGCAGCTGAGCACATCAAACTCAGCACACAAAGTTTTGGTGCCCCTGCCTTTCCCGTGCACCTGACTTTCCCAGTGACCAACGGGATGTTTTGGTCTATTCATAAAAAGGTGTTTGTTGTAAGAGCACATGCCGTACCCACCCAGACCACAGCAACTCCACTTCTGTTGTCTTGTCCCTGTCTCCCGAAATCCTCCCATTTATTATTTTTTTAATATATCTATGCAGGTGTTCCTGCATAGATACAAGGCACAAAGAAATACTATTTGATTGTGACAGCCACTGGAGTACTACCTGCCCCAGCTTCTGTGTCTGGCAGTACTGATAGCTGGATGCATAACTTTTTATTGAAAAAGTTCATGGCTAGGTGTGATGTAAGGAGGTGAATGCAATAGCAAAGGCAGGACAGGGCCATCTCCTGAGCTGGCAGGAGCTGTGGCTGCAGAGCAGCAGCTCTGGCTGGCTCAAGGACAGCATGAAACACTGCTGGAAAGTGATGGTGATGGCAAACCTTGGCTGGGGACAGCCCTGAGCAGAGACACTGCCCAGCTCCTCTGGCCAAGGGAGAAGGAAGAGGTGAGGAAGGGTTCCAGTGTTACCAGAGAAAGACTCCTGCTTTCCTCTCTGTTTAGGAATCATTGTGGTTTTAAATAGCATTTGTGTGTGAGCACAAACTGCAGGGAATGCCCACAGGCTGTGCTGCAGGAGCCCTCTGAGCACAGCTCTCCTTGTGTGCACATGGGCCTGCAAGTCTGTTTGAGTAAAAAGAACAATACCCCAAATGATAAATAAAGGCCTGAACAGGTATTCTTGCAGAAGACAATGAATAAATTCAGCTTCATGGAAAACCCTCCAGTGAGTTTCTGATCAATACAACTCCTGAAGGCTCAGCAGTGATGCTGCAGCTAACACAGCTGCTTCACCAGCAGAGCCTGCTGACTGCACGTGTCCTTCCCAAAATCAGTCAGTGGAGAGTTTGCAGCCAAAGCTTTGATAAGTGTCACTCTAAACTGCAAGTATAACATGCTTCAAATACACTTTTATGGTTCTTTCTCGTTATTGCAAAATTTTGAATTTTCCAAAGGCAGTAAGTCTTTCAGCAATGTAGGATGGCATTAATAGTGTTCAAACTGGCTCCAGCTTAAACCAGCCCAGTTTTTCCTGAACTGTACTGAGGTGAGTTGTACTATAGCACCTGTTTCAAGCCCTTTTCTTTTGCTAATGATGCACAGGCAGGGTACACTGGAATTTTGTATTTTCACAGGCTGCTTTGAATCCATAACGTATCTAATTCTAGATCCTCGGGGGAATATAGCACATCCCAAATAGATATTTGAGAGCCAATTTCACCAAGTCCACTAGACTATTTAGGGCCCAGATGAAACCATGTTGTTTATTTCTTTCCACAGGCGAGGGAATTACTATGCAGAGGTATCTACAAAAAAATTCAGTTCTGGTCCAGGGGTGAGTGGCAGTCCACATGAATGCCACAGCTCCCCAGGAGCAGCTGCTGGCACCACTCACTCTGGGCTGTTTCTAAGGCAGGGGGATGGGCTCTGAGTAGACAGGATCTCACTCTTAGACACACTGATGGGACTGTGGGCCATTAGCTTCAGTGAACTTTGGATCAGGCTCAACAGCCAAACACAGCAGAGGCCATCCAGCCAGTGGCTAGAATACAGGCACAGGGGTCATTTCACCAGCTCCTTCACCACCAGCATGAGCAGGAGCTCAGATTTCTCATGCAAACTCCAGTGTTCAGAAAAAAACACCCACCCAAACAACCAAAACCAACCAAACCCAAGCAACACTAACCAAAGAGCTGCATCTTCTTTTTTCTTTACATTCAGCTGTCTCAAACCTGTTATAAAGATCTGATCACTTCTCAGTCAGCAACAAGAGAAGATTTACCTTCTCTTATTTTTTAAATCACAGCTACTGAGTAACATTGAAAGGCTGTAGAGTGGAGTTCCATCTCCATCTCCATCTCCATCTGCATCTGCATCTCCATCTCCATCTCCAGTGCTGTAGCTCAGCCCTCAGGGCAATAATTCTGCCACTTTCCCTCTGCAGAACCAAGTCATTCCAGGTGTGCCATGCTGTGTCATCTCCCACATCATCTCCCCACGAGCCATTTTCCCCAGGAAAGCCATTCCCATCCAGCTCCAGGTCCTCGTGCTGCCCTGGCAGCACTGTGAGCACATGGCACGTGCCAGCGCTGCCCCTGGCCCCCACATCTGCTTGTTTGGGGATGTGAATGTGATCTCAGTGACCAGCGTGGAGATCTTTTCCCCAGAAATAGGTTTTGATTAAAACTTACCTGTAGAAACACCATAAAAGTGGGCCTACACCTTAGGCAAAGCTTCCTCCTTGTTTTGCTGCCATCTCTCTTTTGAGTTTCACATTTGACAGTGCAACTTTGTCCCCCCTCTGCTAAAATTATGCATTTGCTTTAATTTGTGTTATCAATCCTGCATTTCAATTCCATGACTGTCATTAATCCGTTCCCTTCTAAACCATGTTCTTCCCAATACCAGCTACACCACACTCCATATTACAGCATAGAAACCAGGGCCAATTTTGCCTGAAATAGTCTTTTCAGAGTCATTCTCCCCACTGAATGTTTTACACAATTCTCAGCTTACATATATAGGCTAAAAATTTGTGTAAAATTTGTATGGGTGAAGACAAACATGACAGGGAAAAACTGGTAGCCTCTGCAAAGGCCCTGCCAGTCAACAGCCACACAAAACAGCTTGACCCCAGGCAGCACCATCAGTATCCTAATCATATTCAGCAAATTGTTATTGTAGTCTTTGGGTCCTGTTTATTCTTCAGTGTGGACCAGCTGAGTTAACTCAGCAAGCAGGATCTGCAGAGCTCTCCCAAGCTGGGTACATCATCAACAACACCAAAGAGCACAAAGCAATCACTGGAGAAAACTGCTCTGAACCAAAAGGAAGAACATTAGAAATTGAGGGGGGTAAAAAACCAAAAACCAATTCACACAACAAAATAAAGAGAAATTTAAAAACTGCTGAGTTTATTGTAAACAATTACAGTGGCAGCTGGGAAGGTACCCAGCTCTTACATTGGTCTGGTTACCAAATTAACTGTGGTAGCTAATTAATTGCCCCATCCTTCTCAGGAACAAGAAGGCAAAGTGAAGGATGGGACTGAGAGACATTTTCCACCTCAGCTGAGGAGCAGGCAGCAAGCAGCACTCCCTCCTGATGGCACAGAGAGAGGCTCCCTCAGCTGTGCCAGATTTCAGGGCTGGAGGCAGGGAGCACACTGGGTGGGTGCAGCCCCTAAAGAGCTACCCATGTGATGTAGAAATTGTACTGTCATATTTGGAAGTATCATTTCAAATCCTCATTTGCGTCATGCATCCCTGCACATTATATTTGTGCATGTGTATGAACAAGTCACTGTATGTGACTGTGTGTGCATATACATGGCAAGAAAAACTTCATATACATATACGTGTGACTGTGTGTGCATATACATGCAAGAAAAACTTCACTTTCTTGCAATGACTACTTCTCACTATAGAAATAATAATACTTCAAATATTTTTAAATACTAACCTCATCCACTGCTGCCTTTTTTTTTTCCCCTTTTCACAGAATGAAAAACCAAAATATCCCACACTTTATATTTGCACAATACCTTGTTGGGTGCAATCACCTTAAGCCACAGCTGGAGGCAGGCAGCCAGCCCAGCTGTGTGATCCATCACAAAGTGCTGCAGCACATCTGCCCTGGCCTGGGTCACAGAGCCAACACCAGTGGTGACAAGAAACCCCCCCAGTGACCAGCAGGGAGCTGGTAGCAGCCCCAAAAGTACAGCTGCTGCCTATGGCTGCAGCCAAAACCCTTCAGAGGTGCCCTCAGTGTCGGGACTACTGTCTGGTGTGGTGATGTGTCAGCCCAGGAGCAGCAGAGCTCCTTTCTAGACACAGAGCTAAACCAAAACGTGCCTGCTGGTCATAATCCTCGCTCTTCCACACGTTCCTAAATCATGCTTTGCTTTACAATGCTTCATTCAAAATACAGATTGTGCTGAGAACACGGGAGAAGGGCTGAGGGGAGTCACACTGGTGTGTGTGAGCAGGATGGAGGTGCTCAGCCCTGACACCTTGTGCACAGCTGGGTGTGTGTGACCTCCTCCAGCACAGCACCAGCACTGCTCTCTTGTGCTTTTCCTTGTCTTTCCAGGTTTCTGCTACTGTGGAGCGCAGTGCTTATCATGTACCCAACTAGCCTGGCTGTCATTGCACTGACCTTCTCAAACTATGTCCTGCAGCCTGTCTTCCCTAACTGTATTCCCCCCTACAATGCCTCCAGGATCCTCTCCATGGTGTGTCTACGTAAGTATTTGCTTCTTGCACACACACAAAAATCTTGCTCTGCTTTTACAAGGGACCATTGGAGGGGCTACTGCAGCCAGGCTGGGGTCAGGGCCCAGCTCCAAAGGGCAGTGGGGAGCTCCCAGGAGAGACACCGTGACTGGTGTGGGACATCCTGTCCCTTTCCACGTGCCTGCAGCAAGTGCAGAGCCTGGAGGGAGGCACAGAGGCACCCAAACCCCTGTGGGTCCAGGGAAAGTGGTGCCAGGTGAGCCTGTGGGATGGGGCAGTGCTGCAGAACCATGGGCACCTGGCACAGGTGACCACCACCCTTTGAGCCCTTCCCCTTCCCATCTTCTCTCACAATCACACAGGTGAGTGTGCAGCAGGCAGCATGCAGCCAGCTCTGCATCAGCCACTGCTGGAGCTGGCAGAAGCTGCAGGGCTGGAGACTTTCAGTGTTCCTGTGAGGAGGCAACGATCCTGGCACACTGGGCACTGCTCAGGCACAGTTACTGAGCTGGGGAGAGCCCCTCTGGCAGCACCCACGGGGCTGATGGCTGCCAGGGTGCCCTGCAGCTTGGGAAAGGCAATGCTCCTCCTCACCCTCGTTGCTGGCACGCTAGAGCTCCCTGCAGGAGCATGAGTGTGTTTGTCACTATTTTGACTGTATGTTCTTAAATAAACACAATTTCATTTCACTGAATTCAGTCTTTTGCTCTGCAGTCCTCCTGACGTGGGTGAACAGCTCCAGCGTGCGATGGGCGACGCGCATCCAGGATATATTTACAGCAGGAAAACTCTTAGCCCTGACCCTAATCATTATCGTGGGCTTCATACAGATCTTTAAAGGTACTCTGTGAGACAGCTCTAACACTGGTATGGTACTGTTGATAGACTTGATTTTTCCCACTTACTGCAATGTTTCCTCCTTACAAACTGACCTGAAGGCGTGCTGGGCTTTGCCAAGCTGTGGGATTGCACACTGACACAGCTGGGGAAGTATGACACAAGGGAGAAATCAGCTGTATCCCCTTAAAAAAGTCCCTTTCCAGCCCACCTTGTAGGTTTTGACAGAATAAAGGAGAGCAGCTCACAATGTTTTGGAATAGTTACTTAACATTTTTAATCTGTTGTGCATTCCTTGAATTTGAAGTGCTCTGGATGTAAAATGAATAAGCAATGCTTTGCCTAGGGCAGGAAGATATCTGCTTCATTTCAGGCACTAGTCCAATTTCCTACAAAAAGTCACTTATAAGATTAAACACAGGTGAAAAATGTCTCACTGATTCACCAGTCATTGGAAAGCCAAAAGTACAAAAGACTTATAATATTTTTATCATGTATATGATGAGTCACATAAAGGACAAAGGAATGTGACATTTACAGAGAGCACTTGTTTTCCTAGTGGTGCTAGTCCTGCAGTCTTGACAAAACTTTCAGGCCCATAGACATTTTATTTTCAAGGATATCTACTAAACAACACCAAACTCTTGTAAAAGAGGACGGTGTTAAGGGCAGGTAGGAATTTGCACTGCCAAGGATCCATTCTCAGCCAGTGCATGTTGCCAAAGGGTCTCATAAGTTGCTGTGGCACAGATGTGGTGGAGGCTGCCAGGAGAGCCTGAGCTGCCTGACCAGGACACTGTCCTGCAGAAAGCACTGCAACTGCTGTGTCAGCCCATGGTGGCATGAACAGCATGAAGTCTCCGTTCTAATAAAGAGTAAAAAGCAAACTCTTACCTGTTTTAAAGTCTGCGAGGTAGGAAGGCATGGCCTAACATCTGGCTTGCACTCTCTATGCAGGAAACTACAAAGAGTTGACACCAAGCAATGCATTCAGATTTTGGATGACTCCATCTGTGGGACATTTAGCATTAGCTTTTCTTCAGGGATCCTTTGCATTCAGTGGCTGGAACTTCTTGAACTATGTCACAGAGGAGCTGGTTGATCCCCGCAGGCAAGTATCCACTTCTTGATGCTCTCCCTGGAGAGCTGAGACTTTGGAGCTGTCTGGTAGCATGGCTCATTTCATAAGAGGCTGCAGTGGCATTCCATGTCTGTGGGACTGGTCTTTCTAAAGGAGAGAGAGTTTTGTTCAGAACAGATAGCAGGCACATTACAGAAACACTGGAATGAGGTATGAACTGAATGAAAGCAGCCCACAGACAAGGCAGTATCTTTATGTCACTATTCAATCGTATTCAACCTTCCACAGCAGAAAATTAACCATGGATGAGGTGCCACACAAGTATCTGCAGCAATAATCTTCTTTGTCTTGAAAAAGTTGAATTATCCTGGAAGCTGCTTTGTTTTTTCACCCAAAGCTTCCCACAGACACCCGAAAGGGATGATTAGCAGTGCAGTGAAAGTGGCACTCTGTGCCCCTCCTGCCAAGGCAGCTTACCCTGGGTCACTGCTGATCCTGGCTGTGGAAGGGCTTGCAAAGGATTTATCACAAGCAGGCCGAGAAGGCTGGAGGGAAAGGGAATTTTAGTTCAGCAAAGCTCAAATGTTTCAACATTTCTGAGTTAATAAAGTGGAATGGCAAATGTCAGGAGCAGCTCTTGGAGCATTAGTTACTTCTGGGCATCCAGTGCACACAGCAATTAAACAAGAAGAAATGTAAGCTGTTACAGCTTGGATGGGAAGGAATTAAAGCTGCAGCCTTATGAGCATCTCTGCACACCAGTGAGTGGCAAAATGTGTGTCCAGGGATTTGGCAGGAATAAAGAAAGTGTGGTAATTATTAAACAACAATATTTTAATGGGCCACCATGATTTCAAAGCTGAATAATAAAAAAGTTATTATTTAAATAAGGTAAATATGGCCTTAGTTGAGAAATAAAGAGAGAATGGAGCAAATGGCCTTTTTAAAAAAAATTATTGTTGCAGCCTTAGTGGAGATATTAAAGTATTAAAAATAATTGGACAAACAAAACCACTTCCTACGTTTACTAAATCTATTCAAATTCACGAGGTTAAACATGCTCTCTAAAGACTTTATTCCCAAATCTGACACAGAGAGAAAAATGCATTCTGTTAGATACAGAATAGCTCAGGTGTGCACCTCTAGGAAGGTCTCTGGGCTGGAGATCAAGTGCATCTGTGCTGCTGTAAGCTGGATGACCTGACCAGGTTTAGGGTACACAATGGGCCAGGGCAGCAGCTGAACAGCAGGATCCCTTCCTTTTCAGAGCAGGTGAAGGTAAAGCAAAGCAAGACATCTTGTTCCACCGGGGTGCCTGTCCCCAGGGCTTTTGGGTGTTCCATTTTTCAGTTCCACTCTGTCCCAGTCCCAGTCAAGAGCCCCAAGGCAGCTCCTGGTCTCTGTCCCCTGGAGCTCCCTGCAGACACAGCATTCCATTGTAGCCTTCCCTAAGCTGCAGTGGCTCAGAGAGCTGGGGGAAGCTCTGCTTCCCTCGGAAAACACCAAGGAACCCACCCAGCTGCGTGCCGCCCCGGGCCCCACACAGTCGTCGTGGTCTCGCTGTGCATGACTGTAATTTCTTCTCTACCCTCCTAATTCTTTTATTAGGAACCTGCCTCGTGCCATATTCATATCCATCCCATTGGTGACATTTGTGTACACGTTCACCAACATTGCATATTTCACTGCCATGTCTCCCCAAGAGCTCTTGTCCTCCAACGCTGTGGCGGTAGTAAGTAAAACCATTCCCTGGATGTGTCAAACACACTTTGATTTCAGTGCTCTGCTTTGCAGTGTGTTTCAGTTTCTCTGCCTTCTGTTGCTTTAGACATTTGGTGAAAAGTTACTGGGCTATTTTTCCTGGGTTATGCCAGTCTCAGTGGCCCTATCTACATTTGGAGGAATAAATGGATACCTTTTTACCTCATCAAGGTTAGATGGAGTACAATTTTATGAACATTATCTAATTTGGGGAGGGGCTGTTTTAATTGCATTTGCTAGAGAAATGCTAGCTAGACATTTTGGATGTTGTAGAAGATGAGTTTGTTGTTGGGTGTGTTGGATACAATCAGTTATGAATTATTCTGTTTCAAATCAGCAAATGTAATATTGAATCATGAAATTTCTTGCAAATTAACCTTCATGAGTTATTGAAAGTGTTTGCAGATGTGGAATAATTCACAGTAAGAGCCAAACACAGCTTTAGCACGGAAGCAAAGTAATTTTATGTCAATAAAGTTCCAGTAGCTCACAGCTAAACTGTGCTTTGCTCAAGGAGGAGTTCCAGGGCCTGGTGCTGTACTCAGTTACAGGCATTTTAATGCTGGAAAATCACCTTTCAGGCAAGACGCTTTGCATGCATACTGCTGATATTTGGGCCAGAATCTGTAAAGTCTGTAAGATTGTAATCAATAAAGTCTGTTTATAATAACTGACCTGTCTTAATTTAATTTAGAAGTTACAAAGTTTTTTGAGAAAACAGCTGAAGTACCTTGGGAAAAGTATTTATCCCAACCCTTTCGTGGGTATGATGAAATGAAACAAATTGGAGTGCATATGTAACAGGCTATACACTAAAAAGTGAAAAGCTAAGGCATGTTAAACCTTATCCAAACCCCTCTTGGCACTGTAAATACCCACACAACCTTCAGAGCATTCACCCCTCACTGGGTAAAGAGACAGCCCTGGCCAGCAGATAGTCCTTGGAGGTATTTTGGCATCTCAGAGCAGGTCTGTTCCCAGGTGACATTAGCTGTTAAAGGCCTTGTGCCCTGCAGGGTTTAGTTTAAATACCTTTCCCCAGGGGACACGCTGCTGTCTCTGCAGCTGCAGCCACAGCTCTTTCCATGAGAAGACCAGAGCAGGTGGTTGAGATAAGAGGTGCTGTGTGACTAGGGACTGGAGAGGCTGTCGCACACCCAGTGGATTCATCGTTACCCTTCTTATTTCCAGGCTGTGTTTCTCTGGTGCTCGGGAAGGCCACTTGCCAAGTTTGCTGGCCATGATCCACGTCAAGAACTGCACACCCATCCCTGCCCTTCTCCTCTGTGTAAGTTACTATCCCTGCTCTGTCACCGTGCAGCCTGCTCTTAGAAACACCAAACCCCTGAGAGGTGAGCTGGAAAAACCCTTGAGAGGTGGCTTTACCCCCGAATCAGTGGGTCACCCTGAATGGCAGCTGGTAGGTGCCAGCTGAGCAGCGCCTTCAGCCTCAGAAATAACTCCTCCTCCTCCTCCCAGTCCCCTTGGCACCTGAAGGGTTTCCCTCATAACCTGAGTTGCAGTGTAAGCTCATTAATTCTTGTCCTGCAGCAAGAGACAGGGAGTGGCTATTGAAACAGAGATAATTCATTTAAGAAAAGACAAGTTCCTCAGACCAATGTTGCCTGCCTCCCAGCAGAATTTGGAAACCCCCGTGGTCACTGATCTCACTCCAGCAAGGCAGCTTTAGGTCCTGCCACCAAAGCCAGAGATATGGGGGGTCCCAGGAAAAGGACAAAGCGCTCCAAAAATTATTTTCAACAACCAAGACACCTTGTGAGGGGTAACCAGGCACTGGGGGCCACAGGTATTTCTTTCCACAGGCCAAAAAATGAAGCAGGGACAATGATTACAGTAGGGAATCTGCTGAATGGCACACCAGGCAGACAAGAGGTCACCTGCAAAGCCCAGACACCAAGGGACCAGCTGTGAGGAGTGCTGGGGGTCCAGTTCCTGCTGTGCTCCCATGGGAAAAAAGATTCCTCTCACTTTTTTAGACAGTGGAAATTTCCACAAAACTGATGACTTACGGAAGTTATTATTTGAAACAAAGATCTTTGTATGCTTTTATTGATAGTGCAACTGGAATTTCTGAAGGGTTTTATAGTGGCATAGAAGATGCTAAAGAGGAAAATGATTTGTGCTGCTGCTGTCCATGGCCACAGGGCCCAAGCAAAGGAATTCCCCAAAGGGCATTTGCTCGAAATCTTGGCTGCATCCACGGCTGCCAACTGCAGCTTTGCCACTGATATCAAACCCACGAGGGTTTGACCTCAGATGCACTAGAAAGATGCATGTTTACATGTCTCCTGTCTCTAACAGCAATTCTGGCACAATACATCCATACAAAATTTCACCAAATAAGCTTTTTTTTCCACCATAAAAGCTCATTCTGCTTTTATGACAAAATATGCATTTTGTTGAGGTTTTATGGCATTCCTGGGGCTGAGTGCCCCATCACAAACATCTTGTGTATTGCCCCTTGAAGGTTTGGGGTCAAGTGCCCTGGGCAACCATCATGGGATGGGATCCTGTGTTCTACAGGGGCAGAACTCCTTTGACCTTAAAAATACATCAGTGTCAGGGGCTGTTTCTCTGAGGAGCAGCCCCAACAAGAGCTGCCAACATGGCATGGCTGATCCATGCCATGCCACCCCCCTTGAACCACAGTGTAAATCACAGATGGAGCAGCCCCAACAAGAGCTGGCTGCCTGTGGAGCTGGCTGATCCATGCCATGCCACCCCCCTTGAACCACAGTGCAAATCACAGAACCAGCAGGGCACATTAATTCATCATTTGAAGGTGTTTTAATGCAGCTCAGTGCACATCAAATGCTGCTAGGAAATAGTTATTTCTTAACAAATAGAAAGATACTAATAGTGTAGTGTAAGCAGCTACAACAGCAAACAGGGCCACAATTTAGGCAAACCTAATTAATACATCAGGTTCCTTGTCTCTTCCATGGAATCATATCTAGCTCTCTGCATGGAGAGCAGTTTTTTTGTACATCAAGAATGGCTATTTCAACACTACCAGTGAGACCTTTATTTTTACTGATTTACTATTTTACTCCCAAAAATCCAGGGGCCAAGCCAAATGTAACATTTGGACTGCAGTTTTTTTGCAGGATGGTGGGGAGCAATTCAGTGGAAGATGCAGCTAGGTGTGATTCAATGGAGGAGACAAGGAACCTGATGTATTAATTAGGTTTGCCTAAATTGTGGCCCTGTTTGCTGTTGTAGCTGCCTACACTGTACCATTAGTATCTTTCTATTTGTTAAGAAACAACTATTTCCTAGCAGCATTTTCTGCAGGATGGTGGGGAGTGGCTGGCCCCCTGCCAGCCACGGGGCTGTGGCCAGGCCATCTGGAGGGCAGCAGCCCTCTGCAGCCACGAGGGGATGGCACCCACTGCGAGTGGATCTGACACATCAGGGTCACCCACACGTGGAATCGTGCCTCTCCAAGTGCCATCGCTGCAAAGCCCTCAGTGGCAGCAGGGAGTAGTGTGACACAGTGACACGGTGACACGCTGCAGGGGGGAGCAGAGACCGTGTTATGTGACAGTCAGATCCGAGATGGTGCCCAATTTTAAATCCATTTTGTGGCCAGACAGTTCAAGGTGTTGAAATCCCCCTCTGCCAAGCCTGCAAGGCTTTGAACAGGGGAACAGAGGGACCAACAGGGTGTGTGGCTGTGGTGGTGCTCAGTTCCTTTGCTGGAGGCGCAGAAACCTTCCCTCCTGGGAGGAATTTACTATCGAAACAGCTAATTAAGAAAAGAGGGACAGAAGCACAAAGGGAGCCTGGATTAACACAAACCAAACCTTGAGCATTCTCTGGAAGGATTTGGATATTTAGTTTCCCTCAGGCTCTGGGCCCCAGTGTTCACTGGGCTGGTATTTTGTGCAGGTGAGTGCTCAGCCCCTGTGGTAGCCAAGAGTGGGTGGGGGGCTCGAGGAGCAGTGCCCTGACCCCCAAGTCAGCTCTCCTGGGTTTACACTATTGGTGCCTTTTTGCTGGTCCCAAAATCACAAGCCAGACACAGGTGCCAAAAAGGAGTTACCTTTACAAGGATCCTCAGGTGCACAGCTCGCTCGGCGGAAAGCGATGAAGATGCACACGTAACATCAAGTGCGTACAATTTCTATATGTTTAGCAAATTAGCATAACTGACAAGAAACCCCAATTAGAGCATAAATGATGAGGCAATCCCCCCTCAGTTCAATCCTTTCTGAATCCCCCCCTCAGTTAGATAGGACCTAAACTTTGTTAATGAAAATGTGTCTCAGAGAGCTGGTTTTAACCTTGGCTTCCCAGAAAATCTAAACTTGGACCCCCAGCTTGGAGCCACTGGGGAATTTATTTTGCCTTTCTGTCTAATAGAGTAGGTAAAAAGCTAGCTATGAATACTATAATAGGCAACAGCACTACAAATGTATGTGTACAGAATATAGAGAGAATATAAAAGCAAAAAAGGTGAAAATCAATTCCCTATCAGCATTGGGCAGACATAGAGTTCAAAAAAGCAAGCAAAAGCATGGGAAGTCCACCATCCATCTGCCAGTTTCCAAACATTAGTAATGCTCATAAGATTGATGATGCTGGTCAGCTGTGCCATGAGCCAGCAAGAGAAAGGGCAAACCTCTAATTCTTTATAATATAGAGAGCACCTGCAACAACACAGTGCCTGAAACACAACATGTAAAGTCTAAGAAACCCTTTCGCCTGGAGTCCTCACCACAAGGTTCAACAGCTTTTAAAACACTTCACAGAAAAGGTGGAGTGGAAGGTTTGCCAGCCTTCCCAGCCCTGCCTGCCTACTCATGGGCAGCAGAGACACCTGTGCCAGCACCCCAGGGTATTTTTAAACAGACCCTCTTAGCCTCTGGCTTCAGCATGCCCCAAATCACCCCAAATACCCATTTAGCCCCAGCCCTGGTGGCACAGCCCTGGGATAAGGAACAGAGCCCCAGAAAGCAGCACACACTCAGCAGGTGCCACAAACAAAGGGATTTTTAATGCTTTAATGGGATTTTTGCTTGGTTTTGTTGTTTTTAAGCTACCTTTTCCAGTAATGGCTGAAGAAGGCTGTGCTCCTCTCTTTGCAGTGTCTGGCCACACTCATCATCATGCTGGTTGGAGACACATACACGCTAATCAACTACGTGTCATTCATTAACTACCTCTGCTATGGAGTGACCATTATAGGCCTGATTGTTTTACGCTGGAAGAAACCCAAAATCTTCAGACCTATCAAGGTGACACTGTTACAGCTACATTTCTTGGTTGTAATAGTCATGCAAAGGGTGGGATGGGGACACCTCCCAGACCATGTCCCAGGCAGGTCTCTTGTGAATTGTTGGGATGGGCAGAGAGGAGAACAGTGGTGGAGGGAGGGGGACACAGCCTGGGGGGCCTGGAGCCTGCCCTGCCTGCAGCCCCCCACAGCACAGCCACTGCTGCTGCTCTGCACAGTCCTGCTCTGCTCTGCTCTCTCCTGGTAGGTGAACCTCCTCATCCCCATCACCTACCTGGCGTTCTGGGCATTTCTGCTGGTCTTCAGCTTGTACTCCGAGCCCATCGTCTGTGGGGTTGGACTCATTATCATTTTAACTGGAGTGCCAGTGTTTTTCCTTGGAGTCTACTGGAGAAATAAACCAAAGTGTGTAAATAGGCTAATAGGTAAGCCAGCACTATCTGCCTCCCTGCCCTCCCTGCTTGAATTCTGCCACGCTGGCACCAAAACAGCCAGGAAACTGCCCTTAGGATGCTGGCCACCACTCAGCCATGGGCAGCCCCTGGGCACAGAGTGGCCAGGCACTGCTTTGCTTTGGGCAGCATTTTGCACGCTCTGGGTACATTTACCTCCTCTCATGCCCATGCACTTGCCTTGCTCACAGCAAATACACGGGGTGTCACTTTATACACACAGGGACTAAATGAGCAGTCACCAAGGGACTCAGGAGTTTGTGTGACCTTTGCCCTGCCTTCTTCCACTGTGCCACCAGCACCGTGCACCAAGCCCAGCGTGACGCGATGAACTATCTCGTACTCAAACGTTTCTTACAAAGACTTACATTACCCCTCATATAAAATTGAAACTGCAAATAGTCTTCTGTGTTTTGGTTGTGCTTGGTTTTTAATCACTTTTTAATCACTAATCAAAGGTGAGGACTTTCAAACAGGACACTTCAGCCCTCTGCTCTCACTGGAGGGCTTCTCTCAGCTGCACTTGGCTCCACTGCCAGCAGCTCCCCATGGCCAGTGGTCACTGCAGCTGGGCTGGCACAGTGCCAGGAGGGCAGCCATGCCATGCCATGCCATGCCATGCCCCCATCCCACGGATCCCATCCCATCAGCCTGCCAAGGGCAGCACTGGCAGCCCTGTGAGGGGCTGGGGAAAGGTGACCCTAAAGCTGTGCCACCTTCATTTGCCCTGCTTGAGGAACACTTTGATGACTGAGCTGGAGGGAGAAGGGTTGGAGGGGGCACTCAGGGGGCAGCAGGGCTGCGCAGCTCCTTCCCACATGGCTCCAGCATCACATTTTTGTTTAGAAGACCCCATTAAGCACCCACTAACCCTGGTGATTTGCTCCCTGCAGAGTCCCTGACGTGCTGGGGGCAGAAGCTGTGTTTTGTGGTGTACCCTCAGTGTGGAAGCGCAGAGGAGGAGGCCTCCTCAGCCCACTCCTGGCGGCTGGTGAGCGAGACAGCAGTGAGGAAATCACAGCAGCGTGGCCTTTGAGGCTGAAGTGGCTTCTTGTTTACATGCTGATTTTTGAAAAAAAAAAAGTTTTTCTGGAAAAAAAAAAATTGTTTTAGAGCACCAATAGTGAAGCCCATAAAATGAGCTACATCCTTTATGGCCTCTGTAGCTTTTAGTTATTCCCTAAGGAAAAAAAAAAAAAAAAAAAAAAAAGAAAGAAAAAAAAGAAAAGAAATAAAATGTAAAATAAGGAGCTGGTTGGGTTTTTTTTCTGGCAGCGTTCTTGCTCAGCAGGGGAAAGCAGCACAGACACAGCTCTGGAATACTGATTTTAGTCACCATGAGGGTCCACCAGAGACACACAAATTTAGGCATTTTAAAACTAGGACAGTTCCCAACACAAAATCAAAGTACAGAAATCAAGAGAAAGCAGGGAGACCTGCTGCTGTCCCTGGGAGGGGTGAATGCCCAAGAAGGTGCAACCCAAAGGATCAGCCCTCCACACAGCTGGAGCACATCCCCAGCCCAGCTCCAAACAGCCGGGGCTGCGCTGAGCACGGACCAGAGGAAAAGCCACAGCACCAACAACCACCTGCAGCACTCCAGCAGCATTCTGTGACACAGCAGAAAGGACACAGAGGCAGTGATCTAAATCTCAGGTATCTCAGCTTTGCGGTGATCTAAATCTCAAGAAGCTCAGTTTTGCAGAGATCTAAATCTCAAGTATCTCAGCTTTGTACTGATCTAAATATTATCTCAGTATTGCAGTGATCTAAATCTCAAGTGTCTCAGCTTTGCAGTGATCTAAATCCCAAGTGTCTCAGCTTTGCAGTGATGTAACTCTCAAGTGTCTCAGTTTCGAAGCAGTGTTGTAGAGGTGGAGGGGGTTCCTGCAGCACCCAGGAACTCCTGCAGGAAGCTCAGCCTGCTCCAGGTGCCAGCTGGAGAGGATGGAGATGCGGAGAGGTTTGCAGCAGGCTCAGCATGGAGCTCAAGGGAAACCCACCCAGGAGAGGACCCTGCTGCTCCTCCTGTCTCTGGACGTGCCAGGTGCTGTCACCTTGCTCCAGAGACCAATTCCCCTTTTCAGCTGGGCTCAAAAAAGTAACCAGCCTAAATCACTCACACATCAGATGCTCCTTAGAAAGTGTTTTGCATATTTTATTTGTGCCATACACTAGGAAAAAAAATCTCATCCATGCACCTAATTAATATATAGAGATTTGCTGCTGTAGCAGTATGGCCACTTTCACACCAGGGAATCTTCTAAAAATGCAAAATGTGAGAACAGCTCTGAGCTACTATTCTTTCACACTATTTGAAAACAAAACCTATCACATTCAGTAGCCTTGGTAACAGCTATCTGAATGTAATTTTAAAAGTATCTTTCCAGGGCCCTGGCACAAAAATTACAGATTCGTTATCTTAGTTAATTATTCAGAAAGACTTTGGTAAAATAATAATAATAGTAATAATAGTGGTAGTAGTAGTAATAATAATAATATCTATAGATTAAAATTTTATTCATCTCCATCTTCCAGATGGTAGACACTAAAAAGAAACACAGCTTACATTCTTCTCTTTGTATAAAGCTGTTAATTATAAGAGATTAAAATACATATTTAGCTACAAAAAAGGTGTGGTTTTTTGTGTATATATGCAGACATGTAAAGAAACATTCCACATTTTAAATAATAGTATGAATATATTGCTTGTTAATGGGTATCATAAATATTCAGATTAATTCTTTCAATACCTTTACTAGCTAGTGGGAAAACGAAATGTATTACAGCATCAGAAATACTGATTGCTTTCAGAACTGCTAAGTTTTGGCATGGGTTTATTTTTGTTTGTTTAAACAATTAAGGTAAGGAAATCAGCCAGCAAGGAAACTTTGCAGCTCTCGAGACAAATCTGTATGGTAATGAGAAAAGTAATAATAATAGTAATAGTATAATGCTGCAACAGCTACCAAGGCTTTTCTTGGCTGTTATATAAGGAAATCAAAAGCAGAATTAAAGAACAAATTCATCATAATTGTTAGCTGAGTTTGGCTCAAGTCTTCCCTGGTTATAATGACATGCTTTAAAAGTAACAACATTTGGCCTTAAATCAGAAGGCTTAATTTAGAACAGGATGATTTACTAGACCTCATCTTTGAATTACATGCCAATCCCTAAAAAGTGTTCCATGATGTTTCATTTTCAGGAACAGCTTCATCTCTGCTCCCAGCATCACATACATTAAAGGCTTTGCAAAGGTTAGTGCCTAATGTGCAGAATTTCTAACCATAGAAATCAATGTACAAAATTAGAAATAGAAATTCATATGCTAAATGAAATTTAGCAGCACATTCAATCCATATAAGAGAGATTTTTCCTAAAGACAAAGCAACTAGCCCCAAAGGAGACATAATTACCAGTATTTTAAAGCCCACTGAACAAAAAGCCTTGAAACAGCTGAGTATGTTTAGAGTACTGTGATACTTGATATAGAAAGGCAAGCTGCTTCCAACAGAAAGGAGTTTAAATAAAGCTTGAATAGCAAAGCAATACTATGTAAGCCTATACATTTATGTACCATAAAACACTAGGGGCTGTAATGCAGAAAATACTCTGGGGAGTACCACCTGTAAGTCAGCCTAAGGTAAAGTCAATAAAAATGGATTGGATTATTCTTACCTGATTTACCACAGGATTGAAAAAAGTGGTAACAGATACATCATCACTGTGCTACAAGCTTTGCAAGAGAGAAGGGGAGAAGATAAAATTCCAGGAGCTGAGTGGGCACTCTTGGGAACACAGGGAGAATGAGGCAGAGCTTCTGCTGGCTTGGTCACCCTCAAGCATTTTCAAAAACTTCATACAGGAATTCAATGTCTTCCATTCCCATCAGTACATAAACCAGAAGAGTTTGATCTCAGAAGGATCAAGGGATGAGACCCACAGAATCACAGAACAGGCTGAGTTGGAAGGGGCCCACAAGGAACACGGGATCCACAGGATCTCGGAAGGAACAGGCCCACATGGGGATTGGGCTCACACCACGCCGTCCCAGCCCAGAGCCTTCCTCCAGCCCAAGGACACGAGTCCCTGCGTGTTCAATAACACATCTGACTTGGGAGCACCTTTCCAAAACACGTATCCAAAAACGTGCAGAGCAGATCTCATCAGCCAGGCTCCAGCAGCTCTGAAAGCACAAGCCCTGAGGCGCTGTCAGCGCAGGACAGGGCTGCTGGCCCTGAAGCCACCTTCGCCTGGGGAGTGCTGGGCCGGGCTGGGCAGCCCAGGACAGAGCCAGACCACAGCCCCGCTCCAAACAAGCTCATGCTGGGACAGAAACGTGCCGAGAGCTCAGTTAAAATAGTTCACCTTCAAAGGAACGACAACAGATGAACAACCAACAAACCCCAACAGACGTGCTGTCCCACACTTCATATGCAGAGGCCTTTGTCATGGGATTTCTCACATTTCGCTTACTGCTAAACCTTGGGGAAAAAAATTCATTTGGTTTCCAGCCCCTCTGCACCAAGAAACTGCTCACAGTTATTCCCCTGCTGAGGAGTTCTATGAGAGATATTGAAAGAAAAATGAAGGGTAAACTTTGCTTAGAATTTGTCTTTTCCTAAAGCTTTAGAGTTCAGAGAGTTGTGTCCTCTCTCCACCTCCAGCCGTGACTACAGGCAAACCAAACTCTGGTTTTTAAACCTCCTGTCCTTGGTCCTTGACTTCTCACCAGTGCTCTATCTTCAATGAGAAATTTCTGCCCTTGGAAAATGGAAAAGGAAAACCCAAGAAGAAGGATTAGAAAGTGAGTAAGAAGATGCTGAGAGGCCAAAACCAAATTTGTCTTAAAGGCCTACAGTAAAACAGAGGGATAGAAGGGAAGGAGATCCAGAGGACATCATAAAGCAGGGAACACATGGAATGAAAGGGAATAAAATGTAAACCTCAGCCTCACCTCAGCCTTGGTAAGAACACAAGAGCCAGCATGTGAAGAGGGAAGAACAGCTCACTGAACTGTTTGCTAGGGTGACAGACAAAGGACAGGACACGAGGTCTGCTGCCTGCAGGGCTCAGGTTCAGACAGCTGTTTGTACCAATTTTAAATCCTGGCACTTACCTGGGAGACTAAAATTCAACTTCCAGCCAAGTCCAAAAGTCTTGAATAAGCAAAAGCAGTTTTTCCTCTCAGAGAAAGGTCTGATTAAAAAGTACCACATTTCCTTCAGGCTTCTCAAGTTTGTCCCTTGGTTTGCTGTAAGACACATCTATTGTACTGCACAGGCTGTCAAAACACTCAAGTATCATTTACAACTCTATTTCCATCTCATGGGTTATTCTCATTTCAGCCTCACATCAGGGTATGATGGTAAGGTTTGAAACACTAATGCTTCTGCCACTGTAGCTGAATGAGCATTTCATGGCAAAACAAAACCAAAGCAAAGGCAAGCCAAGCCTTTCTGCTAGGCTAGAAGGTAGTAGCCCTCTGCATCAAGCTGGGTCCTTCCATCCTCCATAATCTGGGATCATCACGATGTCTGTCCAATTCTCTTCATTACAGATAAAGATTTCCAAGTCTGTGGAGCACAGTCAACACAAAATAACTCAGCCTTCACCTTCTGAAAAAGAGCAGGACAGAGCCAGCAGTAGCTCTATGACATGAGAAGCATCAGCAAAACAAGCACTGGCCTCACAAAAGGGAGAGGCTGTACTTCAGAAATTTTTTTTTAACCACCCTAACAGTCTTCAGGGCTTCTTTTTTTTTTTAGTTGGAATATATGCATACATACATATCAAAGGCAGCTGTATACAACAGTGAGTTTCCTAGAACCAAGATTTCACATGTATTATTTAAAAAGGGATATCCCTTTGACCAGCTTCAGCTACCAGAGAAAGCAGATGATAAAAAACCCCCAGAGGTACAAAACCAAACCAAAATACACCCTCCCCCACCAAATTCATGTCCACACATGGAGTCATGGGTCAAGCTAAGACCATGGGAGCACAGCTCAGGAATCCTCAAGCTTAGGTGTTAAG